AAGTCAAACTGAATCACGATATGCGCTGATCTTGCCGCAGACCGCCGAGCGTGGGCAGCGGCTATTCAAGATATCCATGAAGCCTGTTTATCCTCTCCCAGGAGCCAGCCGCCGTAAATTAAAGTAAGTAAGTAAACCATTAGCGGGAATCTTAGCTCGACCACTGTGTCAACTATTTAAGCTAAGCCTAGAACAAGGTATTCCACCACGGAACTGAAAAACAGCCACCGTGGTAACCATACATAAAGGAGGGCCCAGGTCAGAAGTAGGCAGCTACAGGCCGGTAAGCCTGACTAGCATTCTTTGCAAAGTGCTAGAAAGTATCATCAGGGCCCATATCTGTAAGCACTTAATGGATCATTCTATGCTGTGCCCTGCTCAGCATGGGTTCCTGAAAACAGGTCGTGTCTCACCAATTTCTTGTGCTTCCTAGATGAAGTAACTCGCAGGTTGGATGAAGGCAAAAGCTTAGAGGTATGCTACCTTGACTTCAGTAAAGCGTTCGACTTTGTGAATCATCACCTACTGTTAATCAAGTTGAAAGCCGTCGGCATAGAGGGGCAGATATGTAGCTGGATATTTGACTTCGTAAGTGGGCAATCTTTCTACGTAAGAGTGAGTAGTTCCAATTCCAGCCTGAGGAACATCACTGATGGAGTACCTTAGGGATCGGTACTGGGACCCATCTTATTCGTATTGTTTATAATTGACCTAGCCGTAACGCTCCAGTCACCTAGCTTTTTCGCGGATGATGTAAAAGTTGTGGAATCAGAGGGGCGAAAAGATCTGGCCAGGGATATTGCTGCAGTCCTAAGCTGGGCCCTCAAGTGGGACTTGCCACTGAATGCTGGCCAACTGTTGTCACGTGCCGTAGAGGGTATCACAGTTGGCCACGAGGTAGGTGCCTCCACTATGGAGGCGGCGGAAAATGTAAAAGACCTAGGAATCTTCGTAACTGCTGATCTTAGGTGGTCAAATCAATTTGCCAGAGCGGCACAGAACCAAAACCGGCGCACGATAGTACATGGTTAATGGATGTAGAAACTGGAACTGAAACTGAGAAAGACAGCGAATACCCTTCAGGCTTTCTTAAAGGGTGTATATAGACAGCCGGCACCGTTAGGTGTGACAGATAGGTTCGATTATCCCAGCTCGACCTCACGGTTAACTGAAATAACTGTGACACCAGACGAATTCCTTCATGAGTTGGCTTCTCTGAACAAGTTCAAGGGATCGGGACCGGATTACATTAGTCCCGCTATTGTTAAACCTCTAGCGGGGATACTCCAAGGGCCTCTGAAAAAACTGTTTCAGGCATCTAGATAAAAGCAAAATACCGGGTCAAAGCAAAAAACCGAAAACTGCAGACCAGTAAGTCTGACGTCGGTCCTATGCCAAGACCTAGAAAGGATTGTACGTAAGCATATGGCTGCGTATCTAGTAGGGCATGAGCTACTAACGCCAGCCCAACATGGCTTTATTAAGAGGAAGTCTTATTACCGAATCCGCTTGCCTTCCTCGATGAAGTCACACGACACTTAGACGAGGGACAGCATGTCGAGGTCTGTTACCTGGACTTTAGCAAAGCCTTTGACTCTAAGTCATCAGGGGTTAGACCAAAAAATGCAATTTTTAGGAATTGGGCGAAAAGTTGGAAGGTGGATAAACTGCTTTATAGCTGACGGCAATTTCCAGGTCAAGGTTGGTATGCACTTATGGGTACCGGCAAACATGACTAGCGGTGTCCCTCAGGGTTCTGTGCTAGGCCCACTGCTATTCCTGATATTTGTCAATGATCTGCCACGGGAAATCAACAACCCGTGCTTCATGTTTGCGGACGACTTCAAGGTGGCTAGAGCGAATGTATATCAGGACCTGCAGGCGGTTATACGTTGGTCCGAAAAGTGGGATCTTTCTCTCAACCTAGCCAAATATCAGCTTCTAACAGCAGAAGTTGAACTTAGCATTCAAAATGAAATCCAGCTCAAGAGAGAGACAGGAAGACCCGGAGTTGTTATACCACATGACTTTAAACCCTCACAACAATATCAAAGGGCAGCCAACATAGCTCGAAGGGAACTCTTTTGCTTACACTCCACGATTACGTGTTGGAGACCCCAGGTTCTCGTCCCTCTGTACAAGGCCATAGTTAGACCACACTTGGAATATTGTGTTCAGGAATGGGTACCTTATTTTCGGAAAGACATCGAATGTCCAGAAAGTGCAACGCCTGGCTACAATGATGATGGTGGGACAAAGAGGTAAGAGCTACGAGCAGAGGCTCAATGACCTAATCTGTTCTCGCTGGCAAGAAGGAGAATCAGGGGGGGGGGATCTCATAGAAGTCTATGAGATCATAAACGGTCTCTCCGGACTCAAGTTTAATGACGTGTTCCAATTTATCCCTTCAAGTGGCACTAGGGGGCATAGTTTAAGGCTGCGACGTAGTCTTGTAAGGTTGGACATTGGAGCCAAGTTCTTTATAAGTCGCATAATACCTTACTGGAATAGTCTACCCGAGGATGTGAGAACTTGCTCGAACGTCAGCCTTTAAGAGGGCCTTAGATGACTGTTGGGCTCCTATATTCCCTGAAACTTTATATATATATATATATATATATATATATATATATATGGCTGATGCATATACGGAGCAAACACCTTTTGGTGTTGCTGCCCTTCC